AAACCTACATCACACCAGACCGCATCTCACGATTTCTAAATAAATATTAGATAACTAGAAAGAAGCTTGAAAATTCTGAACACATTTAGTAGGAATAATTCCTTGGTTTGATATTGAATAGCTTTGTGTTACTATCAGGTAGAACTATAATCTTGTTCACCGACTCGCAGACCAATAATAATGTATATTATTACAGTGTTTTCTACTGACAGTTTCACAGTGATGAAAGCGCAAAGTCGCGGTTTGACACGGGTCTGAGGAGTTAAAATCTAAAATATGAACTGTATTTGCTGGTTTTCTGTACCATTTTCATTATGGTTTTATCAGTACCACTAATCAATTTGAAACGCAAATCTGGAATTTTCCTTAATACCATAGTGAATCTAATATTTTTCTAGACGGTCAATCTGATTTACTTGATTAACCAATTGATAAAATATTATTGGTTTTTGAAAACTTGCTAAGTCAAAAATCAAACTTCAACGTCAAACTGACTCTAATTGTACTGAATTTAACCCATTTTAAAATTATTGATTTAGAATTTGTTGAATTCATGATGAGTGGTCAAGAACGAATAAGTTTAGAAAAACACTTTTTTCATTGTTTTACCGACGTTTCGACCTTCGGGTCATCGTCAAGGCATAAAGTGTGCTGCTTGGTTGTAGGTGTGTTCGCGTGAAGAATAATGTTTAAAATTGGCTAGTTGACTATTCCGAATCGCTACCCAGTACTAGTTTGTTCTTCCAGGTGGGAAGGTGGTGCCTCATCCTATTGGGCATTATAGCGTTGGGCCCAGGGGGCGTGAGGCGGAATGAACTATAGTTCGTTAGGGGCAGCACGTAGGGAGCGTTTACCGCCTCCGGGGCCGAAGACAACTGATTGGGGGTAGCGACTTAGCATTCTCGCCACGGATACCTTCTCCTCTTCCACACATCTTTTATGAGGAGGCGAATCAATAGCGAAGGGTATATATTATTTATAACGTTGTTGTCGAGAGGGCTTTTCCTCTCCACGCAGGCATTGAATGCGAGATAAGGAAGAAGCAGGACCTTGTTAAATTTTAAAACTGACCCTTTCGCCCAAAAAGCTCTACAGAGATGAACGGGAATCCTCAATGAGTTAACCCATTCACTTCATTGTCTATCTTTACTATGTTTCTATTCGCAGAGCCCATAGGAACCGTACGCATAGTAAAAATATGCTGAGGAAACATTCGTTGAAAAAATTGAACTTCTTATGTATTACTAGCGCTTTCTGGTGTCTTTTATGACTTTAATTTAAGAAAATATCACAATATTTCATAAAAAAGCGTTGGTATAGAACGAATCAAGATAGTGGCCAAGATGGGACGAAATCAAACGATTTCCACCAAGGTTTAAATTACATCCCCATACAACTCTCATCAAGTTACTAAATTCCTAAATCAATTGTATATTCCGCAGTACGCATTTTCCCTTCCTACCCATTTCAGGCCATCATCCTCATCCTGAAACCTGGCAACCAGTTCAAAAAACCTCATCATATCGTCAAATCATTTTACTTTCCATCTTGTCCAAAGTATTTGAAAACATTCGCCTTACAAGACTCTTCCCGGAATTAAACGCCTCACATCATCAGTTTGGCTTGCGCCCCATTCCAAAGTCAGCAAGTGTTTCGCGTTAAATACATGGGCAAAAGTTGGAACAAAATGTTTCATATAAAATTTATGACATTAGTGTAAATGTACGTTAAACTATCATTGAATTTACACAAAACGCTAAGAACTTATGCTACCACTGATTAATGTGTATGTGTTTTTAAGCGTTTATCTCGCTTATCAAAAACTTTACGAGCTTATTTCTTGCGCAATGTACTGCGGAGCATAGGTTGATCGTACTGGAAGCAATGATAATATAAATAAAATTAAACTTTTCATTTAGTTTGTATCGTTTATTTTGAGGTTTACGATCTTAATTCTTCCGTTTCGATACGATTCCAACTGTAACACGGAATATTTGAATAGTGTAAAACAAGAAATATCGTGAAAAAACCTATTTCATCTAGTAATTTGGACTAGAAATGGATGAGAAATGGGGACAGATTATATAATCCTGGCAACATTTTTCACAACTTTCTACAAAGTCTTTACGGACTATAAAGGAGAGGGAAAACACATGAGAGCTTCAGACACAATGATATGGTATACAGATGGCTCCAAAACAACGAAGGAACCAGATCGGGCATTTACTGTACAAGCCCAAAACATGAGCAATCAAACTCATTAGAGAAGTACACTTCGGTCTTTCAGGCAGAAATACATGCCATCAATGCTTGTGCCCTAGAAAATCTAAAAAGAAGTTACACTGACAAAAAATCCTCGTATGATCTGATAGGCAAGCAGCTATTAAAGCTCTAGCATGTAAAAGAATCACATCAAAATTAGTCAGTGAATGCATCCAAAATCTCCAAAACCTGGGGGAACCCAACAACCTGGTCATATCTTGGGTGCCAGGACACAGGGGAATTTTGGGTAACGAGAAAGAGGACAGTGTGGCCAGAGGAGGTGTACCTGAGTCAGCAAGACCATACATACGCCCCGAAACTATACTTGGGATAACAAAAACAAATATAGAATCCTCCATCGCAGAATGGATCCAAACAAAACAAAAGGAGAAGTGGATAAACTCTAGCGGTGCTAGACATAGTAAACTTATGATGAAACAACTCTCACCAAGACTGGCAAAAGCATTGCTGCAATTGGAGAGGGCCAAACTCAGAGGAGTGATAGGACTACTAACCGGTCATCACTGGCATCTGAGAAAACATCAACACCACATGGGCATATACAACAATGATCCCATCGGCAGATTACGTAATGAGGAGGAGGAAAAAGCCACCCATAACATCTTCGACTGCGAAGATACAGCTCAATGGAGATTCAACCTAAATACGAAAAAACTAAGGGAATGAAATTGTAGCAGTGACAGTCAATGACCTGATACTTCTAAGGAGAAGGATATAGTCTATTCCACTGAACTAAGGAGGGGAACAATAAGCAAGAAGGCTGCAGTGCCTGGGGAGTACAAACCCTGCTTCCTAGTATCCTTATCACCATACCATATACCATACCATGTTCCTCTATTCCTAAAATGTATATTAAAACAAATGCTGGTTATTTCTCGTCATATTTCTGGCCAGTAACATTATATACAGCTAATCTTAAACAAGTTGAAACAATAAAAATTTGAAAGGCATCACCTATATATTCGTTAAAAATGGTCTCTATTCGAAGAAAAGCAGTATCTATCAGTCAGACTGTCATTCAAGTCTTAAAACCACCTAGGTTTTGCAACCTTCTGCTTGATCCTTTCTGATTAATTTTGTTTTAGTAGACAGGTTTTGGATAATTTCATTTATATGTTACGCAATGAGGAGGAAGAAATAGGAAGATATTCCCCATTGACATGTTTGACGCCTGGATGAACGGAATCTAAAACATGGTGTTTTCAAGATATTTGTAAGATGTTAACTCGTGTTAAATCGAATAGAGAAATGTCCAATAAAATCGTGAACGCCCCCTTCATTTCTTAGCATGTTAAACGCTAATTTTTCCGCAATGCTGTGCGTGGCGATTGGTAGAACGAAAAATAAAGCTATAACAGTCCTTGAAGGCTTGTTGTAGTTTGTTTTGGTTTTCTTTTGTGTTAAATTGTAAGATGCCAGAAGTTAATAAAAAAGGAAAATTAATCAACTCTTTCATTCAAAATGCTATCCATGCACTCAAAAAGTACTAAAAAATGTCACGCTTCAATTCGTGCCGACATACCTAACTTGTATTCTAACAACTAATAGCCTATAACTTTATAGGATAGGGGCTGTATCTCTATGAATGAGAGTATAAGGGCAGGTGAAAAATTAGCAAAACAAATTATTTAATTACTGCGTATTTAAGAATAAAAATAGATGTAAACAAAAAACAGCTGTTAAATTCATGGCTGCCTTGTTGGTTACTTACACCCTAGCGGATAAGAATATGACTACATTTTCGGCCTAACATCTAACATTGGTCCTGGCCTGTTAGATCGAGCAATGTTAACTAGCCTCTCCATCCGAAGACAGGCAGTGTCTCTTTATCAGTCAGACTGTCATTCAAGCCTTAAAACCACCTAGGTTTTGCAACCTACAGCTTGATCCTTTCTAATTAATTTTGTATTAGTAGACAGGTTTCTGCTTTTTGCCACAGATTGGTTGGGTTGTTGCTTGTCAAGAATATACGGCTAGAAGCAAGTTGAAGCAATAGTGTTTGTCCGGTCATTCCTAGCATCATTCTAGTCTTAAGACGTCTTACATTAAGAAAATCTGTTTCGTGGCGTTTCTTGATTATTTTTGATGATCATCTATCGTTGTCTAGAGTTCTTTGTTTTCTGTCTTTCATCTGAGAAAATGTCTACCCAACAAGGGTATATACAACGATGATCCCATTTGCAGTTTATGTAATGACGAGGAGGAAATAGCCTCCCATATCATCTTCGAATGCGAAGCAACAGCTCAATGGAGATTTAACCTAGCGTACGGAAAAAACTTAGAGAATCAAATTGCATTGGCGACAGTCAATGACCGTGATATTTCTAAGGAGAAGATTGAGTCCATTGCACTGAACTAGCGAACTAGGAAGGTACAATAAGCCAGAAGGCTGCAGTGCCTGGGGAGCGCAAACCCCGCTTCCCAGTATCCTTTTTTACCATACTATACCATACCATAATAGTAATTAGGACGTTTCCTATCATTTTGTTGTGTCGGGCCATTTTCAGCTTGCCATCTATCATGTTGGGTTAATCTTTGAGACATCAAATTTGTAATAAACAACAAAACAAAATTGAAATACTAAAATATCTATCAAATGATTTCACCTTACAATAATTGGATTTTCTTTACATAAAAATAGATTATTATAGTACACAATATAAAAGATTTCTAGTCATTTTGTTTTACGTTTGGTACGCTTTAAAAAATACATACATTCGCATCACAATATATAAATAAAAAATAGAGAATTTTGTAAATATAAAATAAGATTAAAAAAGTTTTTTCATGAACAGGTCGCAGTCCGTGTGTGGCTCGCAAGGCACTTTCAGCCCAGTTATACCATAATAGTCGTATTCCTTGTAGGAAAGTGAAAATACTTTCCGCCAGCCGAGCTTCTCGAACAACTGAGACGAATAGTTGCTTGTGCAGTAGACCTTAACGAATGAGAAGCCAGCGTTGCGACCCGCTTCTTCCGACGCCTTCAGTAGCGAGCTGGCCACCCCTCGCTTCCTCCAGTCGTTGCAAACCGCCATCAACCGTATCTCGAGGGCGTTCGGGGCTAGTTCGTTGATCTTCGACGTGTCCTCCATGTACTTAAAAAACATCTGGAACTAACGACAGTCAGAAATCAATTGAATTCTCAAGCAAATTATCAGAAAAATCATTTTTTTTAATTAATGAGTTTTAAAGCAAATACTTTTTTCGACCGCGTGTGGCGTGAAGGCCACCTGTACAAACAAGCGCATCCTTTCAAATACCCTCCCGCTAATCTTTCGTTCCTACGCCTACTCTGACTATTTCCCCTGAGAGTGGGAATACCTTAGGGCAGCGTAATCGAATCGATCCTTTACTTCCTCCACACTGCAGATATCCCATCTTCACCATCCTTGCAACTTTGCCAACGGCATAGATGTGCCATCGTTTCATCCCGATACCACCATTGCTTCGGAGGAACTCCAGGCGGATGTCCTAAAATATCCGAATGAAGCAAACACTGGAGTATAAAGTTCAATAACAGCAAAAGCACCCTTATATAATTTACCCTTCGAAGCAAAACCCCTCATATGATATTCCTCAATAATATTCCCATCCAAATAACCGACTCTATCCGCTACCTTGGGTTCTATCTAAACTCATGACTAATCAGAAACACACACGACTAAAACGACTGGCACCAAATCAACGTTTCGGACTGAAATACAAACAGAGTTGGGCAAAATCTAACTAATACAATCATGATTAAGAATTTTGATTTAAGTTTAATCTTGAATTAGTCATGAGTAAATTAATCATTATATGATTTAATCATAATTAATTCAACATTGAGGAATGTCTAAATCATATAATGATTAATTTACTCATGACTAATTCAAGATTAAACTTAAATCAAAATTCTTAATCATGTTTGAATTAGTTTAATTTTGCCCAACTCTGGCTACAATGACCAACTTACAAAAATCCAACAGACTCCGGATCAAAATTTTGAGATGACAGTCGTGCTAAAGGCCAACCTTCAGAAAGTGTTATCATAAACGAAAGCCAAAGTTACATAATTATTCTACATGTCTATTTTATTACAATCAAGAGCCCTAGATGGTGTATTTTTCAAATAATGTAGAAATCTCTCCTATCAAGTGGAATAAATTTTAATTCAAAGAAATATTTTTCCATTGATCGGTTATGTAAACATATTTACTTCAAAGCGTAGCTTGTTCTAGGATTTTTTTATTTTATTTTATTTTATTATTATTATTATTATTATTATTAATTTTTAAGGGCGTTTTAACGGCTAAGGTCATTATTATTATTATCATTATCATTATTTTTTGGCTTTTCGTAACGACGGAGTTTTACTTATAATTGGAAGATAGATTTTTGTTAAATAAGGTATTGAAGGATTTTCGTTTTGACGAAATAAATTTCTGTTAGAAAATTTTTTAAAAGTGATGAAGTGTATTTTTCATTTTTTGAGCACCCATTTGAACATGATTTATCGAAATTTAGTCATGACTAACTATATTGTGACTAAATTAGTCATGCCTCGTATTTAATTACTAGTCATGACTAATTTAGCCATCAATCACGTATGGCGACTAATGACTAAATTAGTCACTTACTATAAATCATGACTAACTGTCTGAATGATCAATCATTAATATTAGACATAACTAATTTTTGCCCAACACTGGGTACAAATAACAGACTAGCGTTTTAGAAAATCGACTTATTTTTCATATAAAAGTAGAATCGAATTCAGATCGAGACTGGCTACAGCTTGAAAAATATAGAAACTTCAGAAAAAAAGTTAAAACACGCAGACAGCCGACGATGACCTCAGTTGTTTTTCTGCTCCTAAACTTATTATCATTGCTGTGAAGACTACCTGCAGTTACCAAGTCTACCACTGGTTAAGTAATGATCTTCCCCATCCAAGAGAATAAGCATGCAGCAGTCCTGTTTTTAGTCAGGGGCACTGCTCGCTAACTTCGTCGAAGAGGTCTCATATGCCAAGCCATCAGCTCAACAGTATGAGTATGCTGGTACTGGCAGCATCAGCTCACACTCTCGCCTTCTCAACAGTCGATTTGCTTACCAACTACCTGCTGCACGAGTCTTCCTCCTGCTGCAAAGTCTACAGATCCACTATATTTAACACGGTCAAGGGCCTTGACCATTGACTCCGCACACAACACCGGCCCTTATCAGGGCAACCAAAACTCTTGGTCACTAAATTTTAGTGTTAGATATAGTGGATCTGAAGACTCGGAGAAAGACTCGTACACCAAGTAGTTGGTAACCAAATCGGCTGTTGAGAAGGCAAGAGCAAGAGTTGATGATGCGAGTACTCTGCACACTACTATCCCGCAAATCTAACGTTTCAGCGAAAAAGAAACTCACAGTTTAGATGAAAATACTAAAACCAATCTGGACGTACTTACTAAAATTATGTGACACTTTCAAAGAATACAGTCCTTCCAATCCAAAGTCCTCTGAATCATAGTCATTGCTCCATACTACTTCTACAACAACTACCTCAAAATCCCTTGCGTACAAAATATAATTTGCAGAATATTTTTCACTTTCCATAATAAACTATCCTGTAACCCCAATCTAGTTTCCGAGTGCTTATCCAGTAAAAATCACCCCTATAATCTCACCAAGCGTCTGAAGAGGATAAGGCTTCGCGACCTACTAAAGGATTAGTCCTCGCGTGAGAAAAAAATAGTTGGTAACTCCCCTCACAACAATCATGTCATGTGAAAGTTTAGCTCATTACATGTTGTAAATAATGTTACAGATTGTAATAAAAATTTTAAATTAAAAAAACTAGCCTCGCGGACACTAGAAAGAAGAAGACTGCTTCTTCCTTTCTTTGTTATGTTTTATTTTTAATGGGAATTTTCACTTCAGGAAAGGGCTGTAAGTTGCAGTTCCCTTTTTTGAAGACGCGTATGAAAACAATATTTGCATGTTGATGCGTTTTATGGAAAAGTCCACGCCTTATTGGGAGCAGGGACAATAATAATTACAATAATAACACACCCTGTTCTTTCCCGTCCCGCCACTGAATATGTAGCTGATTGATATAATTGTTGTATGATTATTGCTCTATTATTTTTTACTTTACTCACAAGGGAAGGTCATTCCTTTTTAAAAAGATAGTTCCTACTCATAGTAAGTCGTTTTGCAATGATCCGGATTCGAGCCCTTTAGCTCATCATCAGATTGAAGGACTTCTACAACCACGTCTCTCGACATGAATTGCCAAAGTGAACCCGCTGATACCTCCGCCAACGCGACGTTCCAATTAGCAGCTGATTTTTTTAATGGCGCTCAATTTGAACGTGCGAAACTCGGAAATTATAACACAAGTAAATATCATAATAGTAATATCTAATATTATTCAATTACTATAAAAAATAATAACAATTAAAATAAATAGTTTAATTATTTGGACGTTTGATATTATTTATGTACATATTTAAAATGCCGAGGTATCAGCGGGTTCACTTTGGCATTTCATGTCGAGAAACGTGGTTGTAGAAGTCCTTCAACCTGATGATGAGCTAAAGGGCTCGAAATCCGGATCGTTTCAAAATAACTTACTGTGAGTAGGAATCTTTTTAAAAAGGATTGAACACCACACTCACTGCATCATTTATCATTTCTAGGAAAGGTCATGGTCATGGGGTCACCGATTTCAATAAAACTATGAAATAGGTCGAGACTCGTGTCCAATTGTTCTAGCCAAAGGGCCCGAGGAGCCATGAAACAAGCTGCTTTTTAAATGGTTGAATGATTTGATTTATTTGTAATAAATTTACATAGAACACATTCCTTTAATTTTCAGGGGAAGTGGCGGGGCATTATTACATCCCCTTACAATAATTGATCTATTTGATTCCTAGTCAAAATATAGAGGTTTTTTATAATATACATATTTTTACAAAAACCCACAAAAATAGGACATAAGCAATACGAAATCAGGTACATATTGAATTAAATAGCTTTAGCAATGTCACATGAGTAATATGTGATAAGATATGTTCAAATATAAGAACAACATAAAAATAATAAATTATAACAGTAACTGGCATAATAAATAGAATAATTAATTTAAGCATAATTAAATTAAATAAATAAGTAAATAGATGAATAAATAAATAAAAAACAGATAAGATAAATACATTAATAAATTAAAAGTGTGTGGTGATTAGTGACCGTTAGTCAATGATTATTCCGAGATCGGCACTCTCAACAGGACACACAAGAATGACGCAATTACAAAAGGCAATTACGCAGAAAACAAACACTTAAAGCCGGGAACACACCCGATGCTACGCCATGCGACGCTACCCGATGCTACCTGACGCAAATCCAAACTCCCATTTTCCATAAGGTTGTATTACCCCGGTGCACATCTACCCGATGCTATGCCACGCTAACGTACCCGACACTCTGCGATCCCCACTGTCAAGATTTTCGTCGGGTCGCAACGAGTACAGTCGAAGACAAAAGAACCGGACACTCATATTTTTATTCAAACTACATGTATTATTGTCTTTATATTAATTACAACATACTTATTTTAATATAAACCAAACTAACTCTGATTAAAAATTTATTAGTTTTTATTTAAAAAATTAATTTTAATGGTTTGGTAGAAAATTAATCAAAACACAAGAATACGATTTTTTGATATAATGAATTTAACTAACAATTTATTGTACTCGCTTCGGCGGTACATATACTAAAATTGGAATAATTTATTACACGGTTTTGCTCATACAATTTAATTAACAATTTATTTCATAGTTCTGCCCGTAAAATTACACCATTTTCGTCGGGTAGCAACAGAACAGGACACTCATATTTTTGTAGTTTATTTCAAACTAAGTACATGTAATTTTGTCGTTATATTAATTACAACATGTTATTTTAATGTAAACCAAATTAAACGAGATCAAAAATTCATAAGTTTTTATAAACATCGTTTAATTACGATGGTTAGGAGTAACTTTATTTAAAACAATTAAGTTTAACAAACAATTTATTAGATGGTTGTGCTCATAACATTTAACAAACAATTTATTACAAGGTTTTGCTCAAAATAGTGCATTAAGAACAAAAGATGCGTTGCGATTGTGATAGTGGTTATTGTGACAAACGCCGTGGACTGAACGCGACGTGTGCTTGCGTAGGATAGATGTGCACATCCCACCAAAACGTGGCAAGGCGTCGGGTAGCATCGGGTAGCGTCGCATGACGTAGCATCGGTTAAGTGTGTTCCCGGCTTTAAGATTAGAAACGTTAGCACGATAAAGAAAATGTTTTTCTAAAACTACGTCACACCAGATCGCATCTCACGATCTCCGAATAATAAATTAAAAGATTAATAATCAAATAACGTATATACAGGTAATATTTATATACAGGTTCGTATTTATATATATATATATATAGAGAGAGAGAGAGAGAGAGAGAGAGAGAAGAAAAAGAGAGAAAGGAGAAAGAGAAGGTAGATATATATAGATACGAGAGATGAGATATATATATATATATATATATATATATATATATATATATATACATAATTTAGAAGATTGCAGTCTACATACACGCACACACATACGCATCTTTACCCATATATTAGCCTGATTATTAGTTTAATGTATGTTTTATTCTCCTGCGCTTCCAAATGGTATTCGTAAGGTGCCTTCCAATTTCTGGCATGTAGGATTTCTGTGCTCATTCAGTTTATTGAAAAAGTTATCAATGAGCCGTTTAGCTTCGTCGTATCTCATGTTTGTCCTCTCATGGAGGAGGCTAATTTTATTGCTGCGGCTCGAAGAGGTTACCAGCCTCGGAAATTTATTTGGTGTGGACTTTAACTGTAAGGAGGACAAGGTTTACCACAACTTTGTAAAGGAGGAGTTTATTATTGAAATTGAGTCCGGAGTTGTGGGATAAAAGCGGAAAAATGTACCTCGTAACCACTTTCCCTTTTTTTATGATTTCATTTACGTGACTAGAGAAATTGAGCTTGCTGCCCAAAATAACTTCTAAGTATTTGTTAGATTTTTATCAAATAAAAGCTCCTTCTCCTCACAGTTCCATAGATCAGTTTGAATAAAATTGTAAGTGATGTTCGTACATCAAAAAATATTAGATAAGTCAATAACAGTTTGGCAAAATTACCCCCAGGAAGCCCTTAATAAAATGTTAAATATTCTGGTGTATTCTGGCTGTTGGAAAGGCTAAAAGTTAATTTCAATATTTTTTATTTGTTGAAAAAAGTTTCAAAATCTAGATTTCTTATTTCATTGTATTTTAGATTTTTTCCTAGAGAAGAGATTACTTTATAACAGAAAAGATTACTCATACCAAACTGTTTAATATTGTTATCGCTCGTTACTAATTAATTTTACTGATAAATTGGGAAAAACTATTCACGGGAATCAAGCATTGGCTATAATCCCATTACTCATATACATAATTAATCGTCAGAAACGATAAGAAAGTTTTCTATTTGCGTTTTGGCTATAGATTTTATAATTATAGGTCATACTGATATTTTTAAACAATTTACATAAAACCTGTGAGAAATTCAACATGAGAATTCATGTTCTCACTGTTGAACATGTGTAGTAGTAACATTTAATATTAAACTCATTAGATTTCCTGGTCCGATTGACCAAATTACATCTTTCAATTAATTAATTTTTATGTAAGGTATTGGTTGAGATAAAAAAGTCAGTGTCACGAGCGGGATTCGAACCCACGACCTTCGGCTAGATACGCCGCTGCTCTACCACTTGAGCTATCGTGACCTCGATCCACTCGGACACCAACTTCCCATCTCAACCCCACCTGAATTTTCCCTCCTTGTTGCCATTTTTCGAATGTCGTGTAATTGGATTGGATTCTCGGCGACAAATGAAATGCCCACGGAGAGCTTTAGTGAAGTATACTTCATTTAAATTCACTAATTTCGTGGTCCGCTTGACCAATTAATATATTACAATTAATTAAGGTTTTTAGTTGAGATAAAACAGTCAATGGCACGAGCGGGATTCGAACCAACGATCTTCGGCTAGATACGCTGCTGCTCTACCACTTGAGCTATCATGACCTCGATCCACTCGGACACTAACTTCCCATCTCAACCTCACCTCACCTTTTTTTAATTTCCCTCCTTTATGCCATTTTTCAAATGTCGTGTAATCTATTTGATTCTAGGCGACAAATGAAATGGCCACGGCGAGCTTTAGTGAAGATAATATATTTCATCTTGTGACGTGGTTTTTTTTTTTTTTTTTATGGTTTTATGTTCTAGCAAATTAGCCAATGACAATGTATTAATATTATGCGTATTTGTTTTGGGGGGGAAGGGTAAAAAAAGGCCCACAGGCGACGGCGAGAATTGAACCCACGGCCGCGGGGTCTACGAGCCGAGTCTCTCACGCTAACCACTCGGCTACGGCGGCCCCAGACGTGGAAAATTTGAAAATACATTAAACTGGCAAAAAATCCTTAAAATTTCAGACAGCCACATTATAAAATAGCCAGTGAATCAAAATCTTCTAAACTTGAGAAAACACAACCTGACCGTATTTCGGTGCCAAGACATAATGGAGTTCTAAGAAACAAGAAGTCAGACTAGGCCAGAGGATCTGCAAGACATACAAAGCCAGAATCTAAACTTGGGATAATAAGATCAAACATCAAACTTCTCCATCTCACAGTATCCACAAGAAAAGAACGAAAGGAGAAGTAACTACAGAGATGAAAGGTAACGACCGAATTACATATTTTTCCTTTTACAGGTTTGAGTTTCTTCCATAATTTCATTCTGAGGACGAAAATCGTGGCACTTAGAATTTTTCCTTCCCTTTAATTGTTTTTCGATGATGAAAAGCCGATATGCTTCTGATCAAAATCATTGGAACCTACCAAACATGTTCTTCAACCGCTAGACCCGATAGATAAATTTATGCTCACTAGCTGAAAAACGTACAAAATATGACGTTCGTTGATCGAGCTGCAGATAATCTATGTAGGGTTTCAATCTTCGTAGAGGTCATTAGGCGGGTAAAAAAAGACTAAATGCTGGGTTCACCGTGCTTTCGGCACTTTATAGTGCCAACATCAGGGCCCATTTTATACAAATTCAAATAAATACAAAGTAACATACAATTAACAATGTTAATGTTTATTTAGTCTTTTTTCACCCGTCTAATGACCTCTACGAAGAATCGAATACTACATACAGTACAAAATATTCTATGCCATGAAAAGCATAATTTTTTCTAAGTTATGAAACTGGACTTATATCGGGTTGTCCGGAAAATAATGCAGGATTTTAAGTTTTCATTAAAAAAAATCTATATAAAATATTCTGTTTACGTTTACAGGATTACTCATTNTTGATTAAAGAACATTGCTTTAAAGTAACTAGTTTCTTTTTTTTTTGTTTAATACCAAAATCCTGCATTATTTTCCGGACAACCCAATAGCTTGCTTAGAAGGCTACAGAGAACTGACGAACAATGTTGGCTTCCAATTTTTATTATGTGGTGTCAATGAGTACCATAATTTTTAAGAACGCTTTTTTACTAATTCTAATCAATTTATTTGAGACAAAATGAACTTTTGAAACAAAAATTTGAATCCTTTCAGTCCAACGATAGCCGTTTTCTTGGTACAAACCTATAAAATGTATATATGGAAAGATTTGAAGAATTTCATAAATTCACTACGCCTAAAGATAGGGGAAATTTATAAAAGCTGCTTTATTTTATTATTTATTATTTTGCTTTATTTATTGTTTCGAATAGTATTGCTCGACAAGACCGGTACAGTCTTTTTTCGAAGATTACTAAATCAAACTCCCAAAAAATTGTGTATCATAGGAACATAAAAATTGTAAACGATAGTGAAGATTTGATTCCCATTTATGACAGAATTTTTTATTACATGAAAAAATTTAAAATTATGCATTAAAATAAAAATAGAAACTTAAAGTAGTTAAAGCTCCCCAAGAGGTTTGAAGATAAGATAATGTTTCTTTATGGGGGAGTTTTAAAATTATGAGTCCAAACTAGTATTTATTGCCATAAAATACCTTCACATCTTCTTTCGTATTGGTGTAAATGTTTGGGAATATTTGAGGAGGTTCGTCGTTGAGGCAGACGCCGATGATCCGACCGTCGAAGGTTTCCGCAAGGAAAGAATGCCCTTGAGGAATGATGGCAGCTGACTGGCTCTCGTCCACGGTCGGAATCGTATGAGGCCCGTTGATGGAAATCAGCGGTTCCTCTTTGAAAATCACCGTGCTGAGGAGTGCGTGTACAAACGGTATGTCGTCCTCGACGCACTGCCTGATTATGTACATCTCGTAGTCCGGATGGACCCTCTGTTCCTCTCTGCCGTGTGATCGGCCGAGTAGCCACTGCAGGGTAATCACAAAAACAGTCTATATTGGCCCCACTTCCAGGTTTATCGACGGGCACGTCATCTGCAGGCATTTCTCGGCCAATCCCTTCTCAAACGGCATTTACAATTTTCGTCCAATAATTTTATACAATGGTTATAATAAAATTCAGTCCAGAGAAAAGGAAAAAATCATACACTTCTTGCTTATTACTAAAACTTAATTTTTCTCTAGTACATAATTTTTTTCATTAAATCGATGATAAATCATTTTTTGGGGTAATTAAACAAAACGTGTACAACCAATAAAAAAGCCTAAAATTGATCGTACAAAACAATCGTAAGAAACAATACAAGAATTTACCCCCCCCCCCATATAAACTAAAAAAACTAAGCGTAATAGCATAAATTTTACATCTATACATAAATATAAATTAAAGATCTAAAATAAAAGGTTTAATCAGTTTTCTTGATTTCATCCATTGATTAATTTTATTCAATAAGTTTTGATATTAAAACATGGATTTTATGAAAAATATCGAAAACCATTTGAAAATCGGTTCAGAAATTCATTAAATATTACAAAAATAAGATTTAAACCGAGTTTACTTAAACCTCGTTCATAATTTGTAGTTCTGAAAAGGGAGCGTTGCAATATCTGCTGGGGATTACTGTTAAGTTTTAAACCGGGTTCACTTGAACGTCGTTCATATTTTGAACCTAGTTTAGAGAATCTGCACCATCTGCAATGAATCACCGTTCAACTGACCCTACTTCAACCACGAATTTGTAAAACTAACTAAATTTATGATCAGTTTAATAATATAAACATTTGCATAAACATTTACAATGTAAATGGCTAGCGTTTCTCAAGGTTGTAAAGGATAAATTCAAATCATGTTTACAAAATTCTTACTCGGAAACATAAAATATTTCATTTGACTTTTACTTTCAATGAGATGCTCAAGGCAAAAACGAACCACGCCTGACCAATTAAATTATAAACCGGCTTTTGAAGTTTAATGTACGTTTTAAATACATTGGACACATAGTATATCGACATTTTTTTATCGGTTCTTTTTTCATCCAGCTCATTTGATCAATTCGATTTGATTAATAATGTCGCAAACTATTTGAATACCGGATATATCTTAAATATTACAAAAATAAAGCGTTAAGGTTTAAACTGAGTTTACCGGAACCTCGTTTTTAATTTGAAATTCTGAGAAGAGAACATTGCACGATCTGTAGGGGATTACCGCTAAGTTTTAAACCGGGTTCACTTGAACATCGTTCGTAATTTGAACTTAGTTCAAAGAAGTTGCACCATCTCTAAAGGACCACCGTTCAACTTATCTTAGTTCAACCACAAATTAGTAAAACTGGAACATCTTTTGTGAGGTTATAGCAGGTGAGTGTGTTTATTCACCGTGTTTTCATTTTCCATTGACTTTTAATTATTTACTATTTCTGTGTGCGTAAAATTTTTCTTTCCCCGAATATTTCGGAAAATGTTTTCTTGGCATTTAGATTCTATTAAGGAATCAATCATTGCTTAAATGTTTTTATTTTTATTATTATTTTTGTATTTTTTAAAAGTTAAACATAAAAATGAACTTGTTAAATATACTTTATGTGTGATGCTAATATTTTTACAATTTTATCGTTGTTATTAATTACTTATATTATTAATTATCTCGCATTTCCAGGCAATGATACGTAGCGTATTTGACATAAAGCACTTGCAGCATAAGGCACTCTCAACACGACACACAAGAATCACACAATTACTCAGAAAACAAATACTTTGAGCCCTGAAGATGATCTTAATAAAGGTCGAAACGTTCACGATAAACAAAATGTTTTCCTGAAACCTACGTCACACCAGATCGCATCTCACGATTTCCGAATAATCATCGACTAACGGTCACTAATCTCCACACATTTTGACATAAACGTTGTTCACATTTATTATAACTATAATGAAAACTTTTACTAAAACCTATCATAAGCATTACCTCCTTTGGAATCAACGACTTACAGATTAGAGGTGAAATTCGTAAATTCTTTTGACAAAGAAATGTAATTATCGGATCCACTATTGTAAAATTAAGATCTTTGGCACAAAATTTATGATTTTTTTGCCAGCTTGAAGAAGAAGGAGGTCGAATCAATTTTAGAGCGATCTCCTTTCAAGAAAAGCTAGACGGCTACAGTCTGTATGGAAGCTAAATGGTTTATGGACTAGATAATGGTTGAACTGCTGAAGATTTAATAGAATGGAATAAAGTTCTTTTTTATCAGTGGAGTACTTTTTTCTGAAGCATGTAAGTTTTTGGAGTAAAAGGCTATGGGATGTACCATTATTATTTTTTTTTTAATTTTTTTTTTAAATTTTAACTTCCTGAATTATATTCCAAAATAAGTAACCTAGGAGGAAATTCCTTTTGTAGGACAGGGCAAGATTCACTCTTTGAAATTTTAAATAATCATAAATCTTAGCACGTAATAGATTTTATGAACCTCTTGATCCAATGAACGCACTATTTGATGAATTTAAATTAATATGCGAGATAAAATGCGTTAAGGTGTATAAGAAAACATATATAAATTGGCGGACTTACTATTCTTGATTAGGAAAACTTAATGAAGGCAATTGAAACTATTGTTTTTAAATCAAAAGTTGATAAATCTTTATTGAAACAGATCCGGAAACTTCAAAAGTTTAATGGTGAAAACACGCCTTTAAAAAACGACGTCGATTAACTATGAACTCAGTTTAACCTAAGACGGCCGTTTAAAGTTGATCATCATTGGATGATCATTGGAACTCGGTTCAAGGCAAATTGAGAAACGTCAATTTCTGAGTTGAACTTGGTTCAGTACTAAACATCTTGGTGCAACATGCCCTTAACTTATCCATTGAAATGAAAACAGACAGTGAACAGATTTTTCAACTTTCCGCTATTTCAAGTTCACTGTTGTATTTCACGTCTTTCAAACAATGTCGAAGCTCTTTGAAGAGTTATTCTTGACGGATTTTTCCGTTAACGCTAGGTTACCTGGGACTTTGTAATAGCTCATGTTATAGTAGTATCATGCAAGCATGTTAAAAAAAGCATCGTTATGTTATGGATTTTCTTATGATTGTTGGCAATAGTTTGGCAAATGCTGAGGACCTGGCAATTGTAGAAGCATACATTAATTAGACAGTTTGGGGCTATTTCAGTTTTGAATGAAATTATCAAAAAACCGTCAAAAATTCGTAAGAAAAAAGCTTTTAGTCTAGCTGAGAAATTTTAGAAAAAGTAAAATAGTACAATGCAGTTAGTTAACATACATTTACTCATTATAACCACAGCTCATACCTGTCTCATAGAATTTTAGCTTTTAAATTGTTGGGTGCAGGCACAGGGTCTGTGTTATAAACTTGCTGCGATTTTATGAAACGAAAGATGTATAAGATTTCTGTATTCTGGCTGCCATTCCTGTTTGTCCGTAAATAAAACATCTAAATATTCTATGTCGAAACACAAATATGTTACATTCTTACGAGTCGGGATTTATTCAAACCTGTACGAATTGAAAAATATTAATTATAATCTAAACAATTTTATTCTATTTTTACATATATGATATTATATTTTAAAATTGGTCAATATTTCCAGCAAGAAAAAACCTTATTGACTTTACCGTCAACCCTTAACATTATTAGATGGCGTAAGACGCCATTTAAGATGTTCCGTTCAATCTGCGCATGCGCACTTCAATCCATTTAGCGTTACCGTTCACACTTAACGTTAGACAAAATCTGCCTATTAAGTACCTTTATTGGAAAGCAACTTTGATCAATCGCTTTGGGCACTGCATTGCCAAATTTAGTCAAGCATTTAAGCCTCTTGAATTTTTGTTGAGAAGACAAAAAATCTTATCATACTGTAAATAATAACGGCCGGTTTGTTAAGGTGGGGCCCCCATAGTCAGCAAATAAAAGTATTTCCTGATTATTGGAGAATTTGAAAACGGCAAGGGAAATCGTTAAAGAAATTTAGCTTTCTTCCTTATGTATTCATGTGTTTTAAAAACGTAAAATCTTCTAGGAAACCGCAATCTGTACATAACTTAAAAACAAGAAAGAAATAGAAATAGCTAACAAAAAACAGAAGAATTAACGCCTGGAAGTAAGATGGTTCGAAAAGACTGAGATGGTCTGACTCGAGCATATTGATTGGGCGTACTTGGGGATAAATCAATTAGTTATCTGCTTATGCCCATTAACCATTATTCGATATTAATTTTTTAACTTTAACCTGCCGTTAATCATATTTTAATTTTGCAAAAGAGAGTAACTTTAATCCGTTTTTGATATTTAATTGACTATAAATAATTATATTAAATAAAAATTAAACCCGTTTGGATGGAATTCGGCCAATTCATCCCCTAACAGGTAATTCAAGAAGAGTCGAGGTGCTAGATAGGGACAAGTTCTGGTACTTGTTGCTCAGTGACATTAGGGAGAATGCGACAATGGAGACCTCCAAGATTACCCCATCACAATGGGGGATCCTTCCCAATGATGAATGGGAGGCAACAATGCGGCTATTGTCCTCCGTCGACGATCACAATGACCTCCAAGACCGCCCCGCCAAACAATGATCCGGGGGCAATTATTGCAAAGTCAACCCTACAAATAAATCCTATTTAATTGAAAAATTCCTCGTCGGATGCCTCGAGGCGGACAATGGGACAAGTATAACAAGGACTCTGGGCTATATTGTTGTCCGAGTTGGCCGGCAACTGGAATCAACCTCGTACAACCACGAGATGGATGGAAAAACGATTGTATGAAATTAAACATATTTTAAAATCAGAATATCATAGTAACAGTTGAGTTATATACGCAATAAACATGAGAAATGTTTCGGCAGTGGGATCACATTTGTAATAAATCGTATTTTGATGATACTGAGCCTATCATCATATTTTTATTATTTTTGAACATATCTCCACTCAAAAACAAAACCGAGCACTTGTACATGTTTATTTGTTAATTTGTTAGTTAATTTTCCATAATAACTGCGATAAAGATTCATTTTAATTCTTGGCTTAAAAACACAACATTAAAACTGGGCGCTTCTTTTATAGTGCCACTAATCCTTTTATTCTCTTTACATTAAAAATGAG